AACCACCAGAAAGAGGAAACAAAACACAACAGAAGAAAAAAATAGCAAATAGTATGCTTTGATCTGCATTCAAACTCCATAGTTCCTTATTTGCATGTGGATAACATTTTCCATCACAAGGCCTTTGGAGATGTCTTGGATCCTTGTATTGCAGAGAAAGGTTAAGTCTATCAATACAAGTTGTGATATTATACAACATTCTCCTGGTTCTGCTCACTTCACTCAGCATCAGTCCACACAAGTCTTTCCAGGTTTTTCTGAAGTCAGCCTATTCATCATTTTTTTTTAGGGTTAAGTGACTTGTCCAGGGTCACACAGCTAGTTAAGTGTTGTGTGTCTAAGACTGGATTTGAACTCAGGTCCTCCTGACTCCAGGGCCAGCGCTCTATCCACTGTGCCACCTAGCTGCCCCTATGTTCATCACTTCTTTCTTTTTATTTTTTTTCGCCATTTCTTATAGCACAATAGTATTCCATTACATTCATATACCACAACTCGTTCAGCCATTCTCCAATTGATGGGCATCCTTTCAATTTCCAATTCTTTGCCACCATAAAAAGAGCTGCTATAAATATTTTTGTACATGTGGGTCCCTTTGTATCATCTCTTTGGGATACAGCCCTAGAAGTGCTATGGCTGGGTCAAAAGGAATGCACAATTTCATAGCCCTTTGAGCACAGTTCCAAATGGCTCTCCAGAATGGTTGGATCATTTCACAATTCCACCAACAAAGCATTAGTGTTCCAATTTTCTCACATCTTCTTCAACATTTATTATTTTCCTGTTTTGTCATGTTGGCCAATCTGATAGGTGTGATACTATACCTCCGAGTTATTTTGATTTGCATTTCTCTAATCAATAGTGATTTAGAACATTTTTTCATATGACTATAGATGGCTTTAATTTCTTCATCTGAGAACTGTCTGTTCATATCCTTTGACCATTTATCAATTGGGGAATGGCTTGTATTCTTATAAATTTGACTTAATTCAGAGTTGTATTTTAAGAATATCATTTGGTAGGGCACAGTGGTGCATGCCTGTTAATTCCTGCTATTAGGGGAATCTGGTGGATTGATTTGAGTTTGGGAGAGTTCTAAGCTTCACTAGGGCTAAAGCCAATTTGGGTGTCTGCACTAAATCCAGTACTACCTGACTAAGGATGGGTGAACCAGCCCAGGTCAGAAAAAACAGGGTAAGGCAAAGTTTCCGTACTGATCAGTATTAGGGTCAGACCTTTGAGTAGCTGCTGCAGTTCCAGTTTGGGCATGATAGGGAGTACCAGTCTCAAAAAAATCAATTTGGCAACTGTGTAGAGAACATATTGAAGTGGGGATGGGCTGGATGCAGGGAAACCAATTACAATTATTGGAATAATCCAGATGAGATAAAAGCAAGGGCCTGAACTAATTAAATTAGAGGCTGTGAGTAGAGAGAGTATGACTGTTTTCAAGAGATATTGTGGAGGTAAGATTATTAAGACCTGGAACCTGTATTAATACAGAGATTAGAGAAAAAAGAGGAGTCAAGGATGATGTCAAAGTTGCAAAAAGATGGTGGTACCAAGGGAAGGCTGGAGGAGGGACAGGTTTTGGAAAAAATATAACTAATACTGTTTTGGACATGTTGAATTTAAGGTACCTTTGGGATCTCTCTGTCCCAAATGGAGCTAGCCAACAGAGAGCTGGTAATATCAGAGAAGCTCACGGCAGAGTGAAAAGAGCTTAAGATTTGGAATCAAAGGATCTGGGTTTGAATCGACTTTGCCACTTATTTTTCTATGTGACTCTAGGCAAGTCACTTCAACTCTTTGATGTCAGTTCTTTTTGTTTGGTCATTTTGCAGTCGTATCTGAGTCTTTGTGCACACTTTTTGGGGTTTTCTTGGTAAAGAAACCGGAGTAGTTTGCCATTTCTTTCTCCAGGCCATTTTACAGGTAAGAACGCTAAGGTAAACAGGGTTAAGTGACTTGCCCAGGATCACACAGCTAGAAAGTGTCTGAGGCTAGATTTGAACTTGGTTCCTCTTGACTCCAGGACCAGCACTCTATCCAATGTGCCACCAAGCTACCTGGCCTCAGTTCACTCATCTGAAAAATGAAGTTAGAAACAGTAACTTCTAAGTTTCCTTCAGATCTAGGGCTATGATCCTATGAGACTCGAATTTGGAGTCTTTAAAGCTAGATATACCTATCTGGAGTCATCTGCATAGAACAGTCAATTGAACCCCATAGAAACTGATGAGATTGCCAAAGGATGGAGTATACAAAAAGCAGAGATCCCCAGACAACTTTGAAGGACACCCAGATTTAAAAAGTAGGAGAAGCACCTAGGAAAGAAGATTAAGAAAGATCTATTAGACAGGTAGGAGGAAAATCAAAAGGGAACATAGTCATACAAGTCAGGGGAAAAGTGTCCCAAAGAAGGGTAGCTGACAGTATCAAAAGCTGCAGAGAGGTCAAAGATGAGAACAGAGGAAAAAATGGCCCACTGATTTTCAGCAGTTAAGACGATATTTGCAAATTCAGAGAAAGTGGTTGCAGTCAAGTGCTAGGATAAGAAGGAAATCATAACTGCGCAAAGCAAATGCAACCAAGATTAGGAGGGAAGCAGAAAACTGGGAAAGAATTTTACAACCAGTGTCTCTGATAAGTGCCCATTTCTTTTTTCTTTTTTTTGGCTAGGTGGCTCAGCAGATACAGCACCGGCCCTGGAGTCAGAAGGACCCAAGTTCAAATCTAGCCTCAGACCAAACACTTGACACTTACTAGCTGTGTGATCCTGGCCTTAACCCCAACTGCCTAAAAATTAAAAAAATAAAAATAAAAAAGATAGATGGAGTGAACCTCAAAAGATGTTGAATGATGGGGGCAAAGGGACAGTCTGGAAGTGTCAATGAAGAGTAAGGATTCTCCCTACTCATCCTGCTGGCCCTGGGCTACCAAGGGCATAAAAGTAATAAATTGGCTATGGATGCAGTATGTGTCTTCTAGGGAAGACTATTTTCTTTAATACAAGACAGAGTGAAGAGAACTAGGATACAGGGGAAGCAAGGATTTTAGCCGGTGCAATGGAATAAGAGAGCAGAGGATAATATAGATTGTGGAGAAGTAGGTAGTTAAGTATGAGAGTACAGGGATAAATACAAAAGGGGGAGAGGATTTTCATCATAGCAGATGTTGATTCTGAACCACAAGGATAAAGGGGAGTTGGAGACCAGAATTTGCCCACCATTAGATAGGGAAATGACTAAATGACAGGGAAGCATACATCCTTTGGGGCTGGATTTTTAAAAAAAAATTTTTTTTCATTAAATTTGTAATCTGACTTTCCCATTCAATCCAGAAAAACTCTCCTCATAAACATGCAAATTGCGTAAGCACTAATTTACAGTTTTTTTGTTTTAAATTTTTCTTTATAATCAACAGATTCACATACAATAACAGGACTTTAAATTAACAGTAAATACCTCAAGCAGGGCATCGCACAGGCTTCGGTGAAACAAACACTAAACATTTTAGAAATGGCACATTTTGTCATTTTTTAAATGCGGTTTTAATGTGTTTGAAAGTTAGAAGAGAAACAGAAAGGCACCCTAGTGAGGTCTCCTCGAGTGCAGGAGAATGGGAAAGAAAATCCTACTTGTGCTTTCCACTTTTTAAGTCACTTACCATTCTGCCTGACATTGCAGGACTCCCTTGTTTCTTCTAACTAGATGTTAAACTCCTCGAGGTCAAAAGCCTATTCTTCTTTTCCTCTGCTTGGCACAGAGAAAATACTCAACAATCATTTGAGTTAAATTGCGGAGAACTAAAGGATGTGCCTGGTGTCTGCTCCTCATTATTACTGTCTCTGGCGGAGGCTTGAGACAGGTGTCTTAAATGGATTAGGTGGAGGCAGCAGCCCGAGGAGGGGAGGGGGATCCAGCAGAAGCATCTGCTCCACTAAGCAATCATCTGCTCTCAGACCCAGAAGCCTGGGCGAGAAGGAGCCCCAGGTGGCGGGGAGCGCGCTCCTGGCTTCTGCAGCTCGTAGGTGAGGGCGAGTTGGGCACACACCTGTGTGTCACTGTGTTAAGTGGGAGAACGGGTGCAGCTTGGAGGAGGGGAGAAAAAAAAAGGACACAAGCCAAAGTCTTAGGTGGGGGGCAAAAGTGCTGGGGGTTGTTGGGAAGGGAAGGAAGTGAGACTTGGAAGAGAGAGTAAGTCAGTTTAGGGGGAAGGGAAAGACACAGAGGCAAGGGGGGAAGGAGAGAAAAAGTCCTGGGAATAAGAGTGAAGTGAGTCATCTCGGGGGAGAGGGAGGTGAGTCTTGAGAATGGAGGGAGGCACGTGAGTCTTGGGAATGAAGGGGACCCGGGAGGTAAGTTTGGGGAGGGAATGGAGGGAGGTAATTCTTGGGAATGAGAGGGAGGGAGGTGAATTTTGGGAGGGGAAGTCGTGGGGGGCGACCACGGCTCTGGAGAGGGAGGCATGAGTGTTCAGGATGGCGGAGTCCGGAGGGGCCGCAGCTTACAAAGACTCGGGGTGCGTGGAGGTGGGGTGCGCTGCAGCTTCTACAACACAGTCCATGGCTCCCGCGTCCCTACAAGCTGGAGGGCTGGGAGCCTAGAGAAGGAGAGAGCTCCCTGGGGGCGCAGCAGAGCACCCGCTCGCATGCTCTTTTTCTGGGGACGCAAGCGGCGGCCGCTCGGGAGGTGGGCTGACTCCGGCCTCCATGGACGGCCTGCACCGAGCACGTGGGACCCGAGCCCCGGCCCGCCCTGCTTTGGCATCCCAGAGGCACCTCCCCCTCCCCCCACCCCGCGGGCCCGTGGTCGGCGCCAGCTCCTTCCGGGAGGCAAGAGAGGGCGTGGCCTATGTCTCCTTTTCTCCCCCCGCGTCCCCCGGCCCAGCCGGCGCTCCGAGGACGTCGACGTTCGACGTGCCGACGCAGGCACGTTGACGTAAGTGACGTGCCGGCCCGGCCTGCTCCTCCTTCCCAGTGTAAGCGCCGGCCCGGTCGGGGCGGGGGAGGAGGGGGAGGAGACCCAGGAGTCGTTGTGGGCCGCGGGCCGGACCGGGTCCCCGGCGGGCGCGACGGGAGCCCCGGGGCCTGGCGGATAGGGCTTGGCGGGCCGTTGGCGGCTCGCCTGGGGCCCTCCGCTGCCCTCCTGGAATTACTCTGTGGGGGACCCACGAGCGCCCCGGTCTCCGGCCGCCCCGCCGCCTGCCAGCCCAGGAGGGCTCCAATTAGGTCAGGCTGGGAGTTCTGAGCGGGGTCACTCCCTCCCTCCGCGGCCCGGGCCCAGGCCCCCCGCCCCGCCTCCCCCGCAGCCGCGCCTTCCCGCCCCGGGGGGGGGGTGTTCTCGTGCTCGTGGTGGGGTCGGGGTCTGCGGGTGCGGGGCTGCCGTCTGGGGGAGGGGTGAAGGTTGCGGTGCCACTGTCTTGCAGAGCAGCTCCTTTGGCCATGGAGGCAGAAGAGACGATGGAATGCATTCAAGAGTTTCCTGAACATCATAAAATGATTCTGGACCGATTGAATGAGCAGCGGGAGCAGGACCAGTTCACTGACATCACTCTGATAGTGGATGGTAGGTGCTGGCCGCGGCGGGGTGCAGAGTCTGGTCCTTTCCATCTGTCCCCCCCCCATAACCTCCTATTTGATTACCTTTCTTTCCCTCCTCTCTTTCTTCCTAGTTTCCCCCCACCCCCCCCTCCCCAAACTTGAATTGAAGCTCTAGGTCACTTGCTTTGTCCGATAGCCTCGTGCTGTGAATTGGTTTTTTGGTCGCAATTTCTAAGATACCTAGTACTCAAAACGTTTTACTTTCTGCAGGCCTCTGGGAGGTTTGTCAGAAGGATGCATGTGAAGATTGTCGATCTGAAGATTGCTCAAATGCCTTTTTAAAAAAAGTAACTTGGTTTTTAAAGCAGTCCCTTGAAGGAATCCTTTTAATCCCTTTTTGGGAAATGATATTACATCTAGCTTAATTCATCTTCCCAAAAAACTCAAACAATTTTGGCAGCATTAAAATCTTCCTCATTTGGGGGACCCATAGGGCCTTTTTGATCCACTAGAATAGAATAGAAGGAAACTTAGAGGCAGCTTGTGCATTGTGTGTGAGTGAAAAGTAAACAGATTAAAAAATTAGATTCCTTATAGCAAGTGAAATTTGATTGCCTGTTACATTTGGATGGACCATTCTTAGTCAAAACATCTTGGCTGCCAAAAGTCTTAAGTGTAAGCTCCTAAGGAGTGTGGATGTTAAGCTTCCTGGTGCAAAGGCATGGTATTACCCAGCCAAGTACTGTTTCTTTCCAAAGCTTGTACTTCACTTTCCTCTCAAAGTGAAACTATACACTTTTAAGGTTGAGCTTTTCTATCTGTTCAGCAGTTTCAACTGAATATGATATGGCCTTTGCTGCTTAATCAGAAATGTTGGCGGCTACTAAACAGCTGTCATGCTTCCTTTCAGAGGTATTTTCATTTTAAATGATCAACAGTTATGCAGCTCAGAGAAAATGACCTTTATAAATTTCTTGAAGTCTTGAAATAAAGACTTGGCTTGTTCTCCATTCCAGGTACAAATGTTTGCCAGGTAAAAAGGATAGTGACTTGACTTGAATTCAAAGATAACAAGTAAAAGGTCCTTTTTTCCGCCCACTGAATTATTTTTCAAACTGGATTGTATTTTATATGTCTTTGTCACTTCTAGGTCACCATTTTAAAGCCCACAAGGCTGTTCTGGCTGCTTGCAGTCAGTTCTTCTACAAATTCTTTCAAGACTTTACTCAGGAACCTTTGGTGGAAATAGAAGGTAAATTCTTGTTTTCAGTTCAGTATTTGCATTAAATACCATACAAAGTGATGAAGAGATTGCAAACTATTTTTTTTTGACACCGGTAGTTATCTGAGAGTTTTACTTTAAAGAGTGTTTGGTAAAAACCGATCAATGAGTAGAAACTGTTGCATTATGTATGATAGCAGACACTTAAGGAACAATAACTGTTAGATTGTGTTCTAATCTTTGTTGAAACTAATGAACATTATTTAGTGGTGGTGAGATGTGAAAATGTACAAAATGTTAGTCAACTGGGATAGCTCTTCCTAATCATCAATATGAAATGTGATTATGTAATGAAGGTTTTGTCAGGTGTCATCGGAGTGCATAATTTTCTTCCCACAATTGTGATGATGCTGTTAGTTGTTAACCTGAGGTGTGGAGTTGCATGCATCTTTTTACTAGCAAAGGTAGCAGTTAACACTTCAGAGAAAACACACATGATCTTAACTTGGCATAAAAGTCTACTGTAGGAATATCAAGGAGACTAGCTATGTGTTAGGCATGAGAAAGAATGAGTTGGTTACAGAAGGTTCAAGGTGCAAGAAGGGATCAGGTAGTGAAAAGATTCTGACTTGAAAGAAAAGTAGTTGTACCTGTGTGTCTTTGCTTCTGTACCTGTTGGTCAGCAAGCATTTGCGATATGCCAGTCATTGTGCTTGGTGCCAGGATACAAAAGAAAAAGTAAACAGTCACTATCACTATCCTCCAAGAGCTAACATTCTGTCAAAGGAGATTACATACATACATATGTACGCACACACATCTATAATCACAAATATTTACAGAGTTAATAGAAGATAATTTGGGGGATCCATAAAAGCTTTATCAGTGAGTAATGAAATAGGGATTCTAAGAGGCCTAGGTCTAAAGAGGGAGTGCATTCAAGGCATGTGTACAGAGGCACAAAAAAACAGGAAATGAAGTGTCACATGTAAAGAACAGCAAGACCACTTTGGACTGTGAAGGAGAGTCAGTATGATAATCTTGGAAAGGTAGGTTGGAGGCAGGTTTTGAAAGGCTTTAAATATCCAAGGAGTTTGTATTTAATCTGGGAGATAATAAGCCAATAAAGTATTGAACAGGAAGTGACATTTTTAGGAATGCTTTGAGGCGGTTTTGTAAAGGGTGGATTGGAGAAGGAAAAGATTTGAAGCAAGGAGACCAATTAAGAGGTTATTGGGATCATCCAGATAAGAAGTGGTGAGAGCCTTAACTACACTGTTGGCTATATGAATGGAGAGAAGGGGCAGGATGCAAGAGATGCAGAGGGAGAATCAGCAAGACTGGCATACCTGTATGTAGTATGAGGAAGAGTGAGGAGTTGAGGGTGATTCTCAACAGAAATAAGGTAGTTTTGAAGAAGAGTGGTTTTGGGGGGAAAGATTAATTTTGTTTTTAACAAAGTCATCTTATGAGACATCCATTTTGAGTTCAATAAGCAATCAGTGATGGTGGGACTGGCACTTAGGAGAGAAATTAGTTATATACGCATTGTCTTGGAGTCATCTGGTTAGAAAGGATAATCTAACCCATGGGAGCTGATGAGGTCATTGAAAGAGCATAGGGAAGAGAGGCCCAGCCAGAGCTTTGGTACATATCCATAGTTAAGTGGTGGAATTATGATAGGGAAAAGAAAACTGAGGAGTGGTCACACCAGGTAGGGGATAAATAAAAATCTAGAGAGAATAGAGTATTTAAAAGGAAAAGCTAGACAACAGTGTAAAATGCTACACACAATTTAAGAAGGAAGAAAATAGTAAATACAGCCTCTAGAAATTGCTTTGGGGAGTGTTAAAGATATGTTCAAACATATTTAAGGTTAAAAACAGAAGGTTAGCTGTTTTGATTTGGATTTTTTTGGGGGGTGAGGCAATCAGGGTTAAGTGACTTGCCCAGGGTCACACAGCTAGTAAGTGTCGAGTGTCTGAGGCCGGATTTGAACTCCGGTCCTCCTGACTCCAAGGCCAGAGCTCTATCCACTGTGTCACCTAGCTGTCCCAGGAATTTTTTTTTTACTCTAAATGTTCCTCTGTCTTTAAGGGTGGATTGTCTAAGAGCATTGACGCAATCTAAAGTTTTGTAGGCAAAGGGAAAGAAAGAAAGCTTAAAGATTAAAAAGGATACCTTTTACATTGCTAAATTACAGATTATCCAGGTAGTACAGCCAGCTTTTGACTATCCATGATTAGACAAGCATAAACTTCTTAGGGCAACCATGGCAAACTTTTTAATCTCAGTATCCCTTTACATTCTTATTACTGAGGACCACAAAGAGTTTTGTTTATGTGTGTTATATAAATGATTTTTTATTAGGAAAATAATTTTAATTTTGGAGACCCACTGAAAGTGTCTCAAGGACCCTACAGGGTTCAGAGGATCACATTTTGAAAGTTGAAAAAGGTGAAATGTACATTAACCCTCATGGTCTCAAGGAGTTTCTAGTAGAGGAAATTTATTGTGGACACTTGGTGGACTAAAAGGCAATTATAGATGTTCACATGAAGCGAAAGAAGGGTGGGTAGTATAATCTCATAGTTCCAATTTTTTAGTGATGAGAGGAGATGAACCAATCTACTAGCAAAGGCTGAGTACCTCTAATTTTCAAGCTTTGGTCAAATTGATGGAACAAATGAGACCAGGATTCAAAAGTGTCAGGTTCATTGTTTACTCTAACTGCTGATATGTATTTGACTTTTCTCAGTTTGTTTTTATTACTTTTGAAACTGACTTTCCCTAACTCACTCGGGCTAGAAGGGGAGCAGTCACTCATGGGCCCATTCCCACTACAAATTGGCATGGGGCTTTGACTTGCTCCCTTTCTGACCTGACCAGTTTCCGCCTCCTTAGCAGCCTGGTACCCAACCCCACTCCTGAGGGCTCACGGTATTGGTTCCAGATGCCCAATCAGCTTTTGCCATTTACAGTTTAGAATAAATGCTTGTGCTCAAGTAATCCACCAGCCTCAAGTCTCCCTGGTAGTTGGGATTATAGGCATAGTACACTACCATACCTGGTTTCCTAGTTTTTTTAAAAAACAGTGGTGGTGGTGTTTTTAAAAATTACCATGGTTATAGAATTTAGTGTTAAAAGACGCTTTAGTGGTCATCTAGTACAAACCTGTCATTTTAAAGATGATGAAATATAGGCACAGAGAGGTTAAGAATCTACCCAAGGTCAGTCTTGTCCAGCTATGTGATGGGGTTTTCTTGGCAAAGATACTGGAATGGTTTGCCATTTCCTTCTCCACTGTGTCCATTTTACAGATGAGGAACTAAGGCAGACATGAGTTAGGTGATTTGCCCAGGGTCACACACCTAGTAAGTGTCTGAGGCAGCATTTGAACTCAGATCTCCCTGAGTTCAGGCCCTAGTGCTCTATCCACTGTACCACCTAGCTGCCCTGAGGTTCACACAGATGGGATTCAGATCAGGTTGACCAACTCCAAATTCATTTGTTGGTAAGAAAAGTTGTTATTGGTCAGTTCTTGCATTATGTACTGGAATTTTCTTTCGTAACTGCCAACTTAACTAATATAGGATATATTGTAGATACTCTTGCTTATCTACAATAGTAAGACTAAGAAAACATGCACTGTGGAATTCTACCGAGCTTCATTACCAGTTTCTGATGCCTCAGGGTAGCTTTCAAGCAGAAGATTCTCCCAGCTGGATTGCTATTACTGCTTCTTTGGGTAGCTTCCACTGCTATAACCCATGGGGACTATTGCATTGTCTTTCAAATACTGTTTCTTCCTTGAATTCCCAGCCTTTCTCAAATCTCTTCTCTAGTTATATTCCTTCCTTCCTAAATTTAAAGAAATTTAAAGAAATAGGGAGTCATTTTGGATTTAGTATAGTTCAACAGTCTTCAAGTTATTTTGATTATAATTTGGGGGATTTTTAAGGTGTAAGAGTAAGTAAAAAATGTAATCTGATTCAGTTGTACCAAGTTTAAAACATGAATGGCGTGTATCTTAAGTGTCTCTGTTTCATTCCTTTTCCGTTCATAATCTTTGGGGTCAGTGCCCATTCTTATAGGACCTAGTCTCAGGCTCAAGTTATGCTGCCTTTTTGGGGTAGCGAGGTGGCCCAATGGATAAAGTACCCAGCCTGGATTCAGGAAGACCTGAGTTCAAATCCAGCCCTAGACACTTCCTAGCTGTGTGACCCTGGGCAAGTCACTTAACCTCTGTTTGTCTCAGTGTCCTCATCTATAAAATGAGGATAATAATAGCATCTACCTCCTAAGGTTATTGTGAGGATAAAATGAGATAATAATTGTAAAGTGCTTAGCATAGTGCTAGCACTATATAAGTGTTAGTATCATCATCATCTTCATCAGTATTATGGTCTATGGAGAAACAGTTCTTTTTGGTTTGGATGGTCCACCATCAACTTGAAGTCACAGCTGTTATACTATTATGGCTACTTATATGTGTGGCTTCTCTTCCAACTGACACTAAGCTTTGTAAAGGCAGTGAACGTGTCTTATTAAATGTTGACTCATTTCTCCAGACAAGCACAGTGCTCTCCACACAACAAGTATTTAATAGCTTACTGTAGATTGTATTTGTAGAATTGTTGTGCTGAAAATCCCTCAAGTTAGCACATATTCCTTGCACTGTACCTAACTAGCCATTTCTAATTCTGGCCTCTGATTTCCAGTGGAAATAATGACCACCCTGGCTTCCAGCCTCAAGGAGCACACATTTGAACATATTAACTTCAGTGTGATTATATAGCCTCAGGTAGAAGAGTCTGTGGGAATTCTCTCTTTTTTTTGTTGTTTTTAATTTTTTTTTAGGCAGTTGGGGTTAAGTGACTTGCCCAGGGTCATACAGCTAGTAAGTGTCAAGTGTTTGGTCCAAGGCCGGATTTGAACTCAGGTTCTCCTGACTTCAGGGCCAGTGCTCTATTCACTGCGCCACCTAGGTGCTCCTGGGAATTCTCTTTAATGATAAAATATGAATACTCTTCTTACTGGCCCTGCTTCTTGATTTTTTTTTTCCTAAGCATTAGGGACAGGAAGAGGAAGGAGATGAAGAATACTATGACTTCATCTTTCTCTTCCTCTAGGAGACTCCCATGGAAATTCATATATTCCTTCCAAACATTAGACTAGGAAGAGTGGGCTGAATTGTGGAATATGGAGGCTTACTCTTCCAGACTATCCTTTGTGGCTGTACTCATCAACTTGGAAGCAAATACCCCTGTGCCTCGAATAATCTACTGTCCATCCTTTGCAGTAGGCTCTGTAGCATAGTTGGGTTGAGGTTGCACTAAGAATATTCAAACCACCAGAGTAGGGAAACACTTGCATATTTGAAATTAAACTTGTGTTGTTAGCACACAACCCACATTTTATTTTATTGCCCTTGCTCAGTGGTTCCCTGTCAGTCTACAGGGAGAGGAGTCATTTTGTTCCATTCTTGTAGCAGAGCCTTTTACAAACAGGGCTAAACAGCAAATAAGAGGTGTCCTTCCTGCTCAGTGCTGCTTGTAAACAGCAAAGTAACCAAAAGGCAGTGACAAGAAGGAGAAAGAAGTTCAGACTAGGCCGTTTGATAATCAGCCTGTGAATAACCAAGTTGCCTGTACCTTAGTTCAGTGGCCCTTGACCTGCGGGGCTTCAGACCCTGGGCCGCCTAGCTGCCCCCGAGAACTACTGCTTTGTACTGGTATGGTTATCAGCAGCTCCTATGAGGGTTTTCTTGAGGGCCACATCCAGGGTATAAAAAGAGTGAAGATAAAAAACGCAGAATTTCTTCTGCAGAGACTGTTGTGTCTGTTCTAAGCAAGTCTTTGAGTTGAAATTCTGTTGTTAACCTTAATGTTGTCACTACTTTAACTGTTTCTTCCCCATCCATTACTTATCACACACCCCATTCCCCTCCTTTGATTTGTATCTTCCACAGTATTTATGTACTGCAGAAATGGTTGTGATATGTTGGTAAAGAAAGGTTTTTGTGGCATAAGTTGAAACATAAATTAGAATAAAAATGTGAGAGTTGAAAGGGACTTGAGGTCATCTAGTTAACTTCCATGTATTATCCAACATCATCTATATCTATGATCATTCATATAGTAGTTTTTGGTTGTAAGCTATCCACCCTTCCCATAAGAGAGAAACTTCTTTAAAAAGCAATTTTGGCATTGTGACCCTTTGAAGACATCTTCAGAAGTCAGTTAAAGGTAATAAAATACAAGTTCCTAGCACTGGGTTTTTGTTTTTGTTTAATGTAACAGCTTGTCAGATGGTATAAAGCACTTGTTAATTCAAGTTTCCTTGCAGGTGTAAGTAACATGGCTTTCCGTCATTTAATTGAGTTCACATATACAGCAAAACTAATGATACAAGGTGAAGAAGAAGCAAATGATGTATGGAAAGCAGCAGAATTTCTTCAGATGTTAGAAGCCATCAAAGCACTCGAAGTTAGGTAATTATATTTCTCTAGCAAGGTACATTTCTATATTAAATGTTACTCAAAGACGATATGTTTTATGCTGGAAAGAAAAAAAATTTAAGAGAAAATATTGGGTCTGCAAGATACTTTTGTATTTATACACTTGGAATTATACATTTTAGAACTGGAAGAATCATTATTCATCTTCCTCATTCTACAGATGTGGGAACTGAAACCCAGATAGGGGAGGTGATCTGCTTACGTTCACCAAAGTATTATGTGTCAGAGCCAGAATTTGAATCTAGGCCCCGTGGCTCCAAGTTGTAATGTTCTTTCCCACCATTTTCCATTCTATTTTCCAATTTCTGGTTCCTGCCTAAATCTGTGTCAGGAGGTCTATCTTACATATGTGTATGAAGTCATTTAGAAGAACTAAAAGGAATCTTCTTGCTCTTCAGGGTTTCTTTAGCATTACTAACCATATAGTCCCCATTTAATAATGAATTATAATAATGTGTGTGTGTGTGTTCTTGTGTGTGTTTGTTCAAGAATATTGGGTGTGTCTTCCAGGATTCAGGGAAAATCGTTTGCTCTATCTTTCTCCATTTTTCTTTCAGAAGTATGTTTCTAAATGTGCAAAAAAAATTTGAAGATAGAAATATGGATCTCAAGAATTGTAACACTTTAAACTACCCATGAAATTCTGTTTGGGGCACTCTCCTCTCCCACATTTATTTGGTATAGTTAAATAGAAAGACCTGTAAACTATAGCATTATTAGATTAGTAGTGAAATCTGGAAGTGAGGCAATTACTTTCTTTCTAAGATTACCCTTACCAGTCATAAAATTAAGTGGTGGCTTGCCCACCATAATTGCCTAAAATAGTTTTTGGGATGGTGTTAGAAGTGACCTTTGAGGAAAGTTGCTGAGATTAATTTTGAGAGGTCTTCTGAGAGCCCTTTAGGTGAAGAAGAAAATGTATGTTGGTGCAGTGAGTATAGGTAAGCTGGAAGCAGGGGATGAAGGAAGAGTCTCTATATATAAATACGTATTTACTTGCAAGGCTGTTTAGAATACTAAATCACTGGTGTCAAACTCAAATAGAAATAGATGCCTATGGTAGCATATTGACTTAGAAAACTACAAATTAACATTATCTATGTTGTAACCTATTTTTTATTTATTTTGTTAAACATTTTCCAGTTGTATTTTAATCTGGTTGGGGCTGCTCAAGGCTGCAAGTTTGGCACCTCTGCTGTAAATGATATTTAAATTCCTTTAGGGCTCATCAGAAGAGAAATTATATAGTAAAATCTATCTGAAATAATACCATAGCAGGCGAGTAGTAGTACATGCACTAAATGCCCCAGTGCAATTATTTTCTTTTTGGGGGGGTGGGGTGGGTGATTTACCTTTTTTTTTTTAATTCTGAGCACACCAGAAAAAGAAAAACCTTTCCATACACATGGCAAAACATGGCAAAAGGAATCTCTATGAAACTGGATATCCATTTCATACCATTATTTTTAAAAATATCTCTTTATTGATGTTGCCAAAATTTTCCCCAGTGTACCTTCCTCTCAAAGACAGCCGTCCCATATAACAAATATTTTTAAAGAAAAAGAAGAGGAAAAAACCCCAGCAACATTGATTAATACATTGAAAAGATCTGAAAACGCATTCAGAGGTAGGGTGAGGTGTATTCTCATAGTTCTTCCCGTAAGTCATGCTTGTTCTGTGTAATTTTGTAACATTCACTTCTGATTATTTTGTGGTGGTTCAGTCATTTACATTGTTTTAGTCATTGTGTATAGTTTTCTTGGCTCTGCTTACTTTAGGTCATGTAAATCTTTCAGTGCCTCTCTGCCGTTGTAGTTGTCATTTCTTACAGCAAAATAATATTCTATTACCTTTGTGTACTACAATTTGTTTAACCATTTCCTCAATTGAGGGCATCTACTTTGTTTCCAGTTCTTTGCTATCCCAAAAAAATACTAATGTAAATACTTCACAGACCTTCTTGGGGTAAAAGGCTAGTGATGGAATCAAAGTATGTGGACATTTTAGTTAACTTGATGTGCATGATTAAATATTGCCTTCTAGAATACTGTATTGATTTACAGCTCCATCAAAAATGCACTGATTGTGCCTATCTTCCCACAACCTCTTTTACATTAACTATTCCAATTTTTTGTCATTTTTGCCAATTTACAGGGTGTAAGTAAGGTCAGGTTCAGGGTGTTTTTAATTTTCATTCCTCTTATTAGCAATTGAGAGTATTGTTTCTTTCATATTGTTTGTAGTTATCCTTTTGAGACTTGTTTGTTTTATTATTTGACCATTTATCCAAAAAGGCTTTGGTTATATGTATTTTTTTAGTTATTTACCCATCTTCAATACTACCTTATACAAATTTGATACAAAGATTTTTTTTCCCGTTCAACTGCTTCCCTTTTTGATTTAACCTAGCTTTAAAAAAGTATGTAATAAATTTAGCATGCTACCTTCTGTTCTCTTCCTTGCATTTAAACATGTTCAAATGGGTCTCTTTTTAATTTTTCTTGACATCATTACTTCTACCCTTACCCCTCTTTCTTCAGTTAACCAAAAGCAAAGGGAACACTGTTCATTGCCACATGTTGGCACAATCCACAAAGTTACCATGTCCAAAAATGTGTGCCTTTTTGCCGTGTGTTCATTACCTGTCTTTCAGAAGGTAGGCCGAATACTTCATATGCCCTCTAGATTCATGGTGGTCACTGCTTTTATCAGAGCTCTTTCAGGGGTGTGAAACCTGTGGCCTTGAGGCTGGCCACATGTGGCCCTCTATGTCCTCAAGTGCAGCCCTTTGACTGAATCCAAACTTCACAGAACAAATCCCCTTAATAAAAAGATTTGTTCTGTAAAAAACTTGGACTCAGTTAAAAGGCTGTACCCAAGGACCTAGAAGGCCAAATGTGGCCGTCCTCGAGCCCACACGTTTCCCACCTTGGTGTCTCTCAAAAGTTTTTTTTATATTGTTGTTCTTGTGCAAATTATTCACCTGATTCTGCTAACTTCACTCCACATTAGTTCATACTGCCTATCTTTGAAATAATTTCTCTTAGTTTTTCTGGTACAGTAATATTTTATTACATTCATATACCACAATTTGTTCAACTATTTCCCAGGCATGCAAGAGGCAAGCTAAAGCACTGCCTTAAATTCTATCTTTTTCTGCCCCCTTCAGAATCAAGAAGTTTTGTCTTGCTTGTGAATATTCCTCCCAAAATTATTTTTTCTTTTAACCTTTTCATCTGCCTTATTTTGCTGTTGAGTTTGATGTGTTTCTATGCTGTATGTGTATTCTCAATTGTCTGTTGTCCATTTCAGTGAGGTTCTTCTGCCCACTTCCTTCTTGTTTGTATATTAATTACAACCCCCCCTTCTTCCTCCTTTCAACAATAATATATTCCTCCTTTTATTCTCTCTTTTCTTCCCCTCTTTAAACCCCCAGAATAGAATTACCACCCCCATGTCCTGTGTTTTTCTTTTTTATTAATTTATTTTGATTTATCAGTGATCGCTTCCATATGATTTTTGGGGGGGTCAGGGGATGACAGTTGGGGTTAAATGACTTTCCCAGAGTCACACAGCTATCAAATGTTAAGTTTCTGAAATCAGATTTGAACTCAGGTCCTCCTGACTCTAAGGCTAGTGCTCTGTCCACTGAGCCATCTAGCTGCCCCTTCCATAAGCTTTGGAGTTTAAAAATTTTTCCCCCTTCCTTTTCCCCTCTGTCCCCAAGATGTCTCACAATCTGATATAGGCCTGTGTTTTTCTTATTTAACTTCCTCAATACCCTTTGAAAACATTAAAGGAGGCATATAATGAAGGGACATTTGTTTCTTTTTCCCATATTAGAATGTTAGCATTATGTGATCATCATACAACTGTTTCCAATTGCTTAAATAAACTTAATTTTCTAGATTTCTCTAGACTTTTGTATTTGAATTCAAAGTCCCTATTCACCTATGGTCTTTTTTATTAGAAATACTTGAGGGGCAGCTAGGTGGTGCAGTGGATAGAGCACCAGCCCTGAAGTCAGGAGGACCTGAGTTCAAATCCAGCCTCAGACCAAACACTTGATACTTACTAGCTGTGTGACCCTAGGCAAGTCACTTAACCCCAAGCAGGCTCCGGCCACCCCTTCCCCAGGGCAAAAAAAAAAAAAAGAAAGAAACACTTGAAAGTCTTCTATTCCATTAAAGGTCTATTTCCTTCTCTACTCTATCCCCCTTGGTAGGATTATATTCCTCTTTGCTGGATAAGTAATTGATTATAAGCCTTTTTCTTTTGACTTTTGGAATTATGTGTTTCAGGATTTCCTCTCGTTTTGTGTGGAAGCTGGAAGGTCTTGTATGATCCTGACCTTAGTTCTTTGTTACTTGAAAAGTTTATTTTTGGATGTTTGTATTTTTTCTTTGACATGAGAGTTCTGGATATTGGCAATGACAATCTTAGAACTTGTTGGGAGGTGTTTAGTAGATTTCATTCTATATGTTAATCCTTTTTGTCTAACAGATTTGGCTAGTTTACATTTAGAATTTCTTAAAATACAATATCCAAGCCTTTTATTGTGTTTTTCATAGAATCCAGTGATTGGTAAGCTATTTTCCAGGTCAGTTGTTTTTTATATTTTTATTTTACATTTTTCTTCACTTTTTTCTGAGTCTTTTGGTTTTTTCCTCGTAGTCTTCAGTATCTTTTGCTGTCAGAGTTTCTCTTTGGTCATTCTTATTTTCAGGGAGTCTAATTCTTCAGTAAAGTTTGCTGCTACTTTCTCTTTGAAGCTACTTAATCTACTTCCAATTCTTCCAGAACTTTTATTTCATTTTTTAAAATTCTTCATTTCTTCTAGGTAGTCACTTGTAGAATAGTACAAGTGGTACTAATTTTAGGGAGTACTTGTAGAAAATGCTTTTTTTCTTTGAGTCTCTGTTTGCAATGATTATAGAGTTATTTGAAAAAAATTGATATTAATTGATATTTTCTTTGATTTACTTTTCTTTCCACCTTAAGTTTATTTTTTTTTCCCCAGTGTTGTGGCAGTGCCAGGTTCTGCCCACTGTGCACTTTAGAGTGGTCAGCCTTCCTGTTATTACATTAAGTATCTGGCTTCTTGTGCTGACCTCGACCTCCCCAGATTTTGCCACCCAAGCTTGTATCTTTGAGGTTCAAAGTGCTGTTATCTTCAAGGCCCTCTTTGAGGTCTCAGGACACGAGTATTGGGGATCTCAGAGCCCCTGGGCCTGAGTTGTCCAGCAGTGGAACAACCCATGGCTTACTGTTTGCTGGGCTTTCCGATTACTGTGGGGCTTTCTCAGGTGAGCCCTTTACTGTTTCTGCCTCTGAACACAGACCTTTCCTTTCTTTCTACATGTATCCTGTCTCTGGATGTGCTGGCACTCTGCTTTGCTTGTGAAGGTCCCCTTTTCTATTACCCATGGGCTTCTGAGAGATCTTTTTGTGCAGTTCTAGTATGGAAGATGTCATTTATTATATTAAGTTTCTGGTTGGTTTTTTTTTATTTGGTTTGGTATGAATTTCAGAGTTTGCTGGAGTAGCTATGGGAGAGTTGGGCAGCCTGCTTCTATATAGGCAGCATCTTAACCTGCATTTTACTACTTAATACAAATGGGAAGTATACTTGTTAACAGAATCTTTTTGACTTTCAAACATGCTTCCAGGTAGACCACAATGCAACAAATCAGTTTTTATTATCCCTTCAGTTATTTATAAAGTCAGCTAATTATTAACCCAGTAATAATTGGGTATTCTCCCAAGGGTTTGCATGTTAAAAATGATATCAAATAGTCATTTTCAGTTAGAAGTATATTCAGTGGTAAGGTAGCCAGCCTTGTTTTCAAAAGTAATGTCTTGAAAAAGATCACAAAGGTACTAAGTAGCAGAGTGAGAGTTGAATTCAGATTTTCTGATAACCCTAGCTTTTGAATGCTTGCCTAACTTCCCACTAGGAACTAATATAGAGCCTGTTAATTTTGAAAGTGATTGGAGGGTGATTTTAATATTGTAGCTTGTTTTTGCAAGTAAACCAGGGTGTATGACAACTTTTTTTGTTTATTTGTGGGACTCTGATGCTGTTCGGAAATCTAACCTCCCACATAGTCATTCCCAAGGATTTAACTTGTTCTTTGTCCCCAGAAGATAGTCCTGATGTTAATTTTAGCACATTTTACTTGTAAATGTTGAGTTTTCAGTGTAAAATGACAATAATTTTCATTGAATTATTGATGTATATTTTCAAATTATTTTAGATTTTTTTCATTTCCAGAATTCTTTTTTTCCCCCAAATTCTTAATTCAGTATTATAGCTAGATGTGCTATCAATAAAAACGCTATTGATTATAAGCAGTTACACCTTAGTGAATTCCTTTGATAGAACAAGTTGACAAAAATGATAGCTATGTAATTAAAGAGTAATATGAAGAACATTCTTTCTGTGTTATGTCAAATGATTTTGAATTAGTCTTTTTTGTTTCTAATATGTCAAGTTACAGACTTTTAGTGGAACATTTTACTTGATAAAAGGTAGCGTATGCACCTATAGATTGATGAACTTTTAAAAATAGAAGTCACTTTAGACAGAGTATCCAATCCAACATTTATTTAGATATTATAGATAATGAAATTTAGGCCCAAAGGAGTGAAGTGACCAGTCATAAAAATTAAATAGTCTTTCGTATATGAAGACAATAGCACTTGTCATACTTTTGAGTTTTTTACAGTAATAGATGGATATATATGTATTCATGTTTAGTAAAGCAAAGTGAATTTTGCTATTTGCTAGTTACTTTGACACTGTTTTTTGTTTTTAAGATATATTGATACTATAGTTGGCATTCCTAGCATATCTTTGAAGCAGATGTGAAAGTTACATAGTTAGCTAGAGAACCTGAGACTGTCCTAATAGGCCATTTGAATAACTTAGACAAAAGATGCCTTAAAATTTTTTTTATTTCTGCCTGCAATATCCAATATGAATGTTAAACTAGTTTCAGATTTTAGAGGAAAGTTCTAGGACTTTTCACTTTGCTTTGGCAATAGACATTAAAGGGAAGCAGGAAATTCTCTTTATTCCATAGGTTTTTAGCCCATACATTATACTGGAGGGGAAGGATAGGAAAAGTATCTGTTATGTACCAGGCACTGTGCTAAGTGCTGCTTATAAATATTATGATCCTTACAACAGTCTCATGAGATAGGTGCTGTTATTATTCCCATTTTACAATTGAGCAAACTGAGTCAGAAAAGTTAAATGACCTACCCAGGGTTACACAGCTAAGGCTGGATTTCAACTCGGGTCTTCTTGACTCCAGGCCCTGCACTCTATCCACTGCATCACCGGCTGCCTCTGTATATAGCATATAGTGTGTTTTTACTGCATAGTGTATATAGTATAGTTCTTTGGACAAAGATATCTTTATAAACACTATTCACAGAACGGTTGGTGATAATGCACATCTCTGTACTTTCGTGGTGTAGAATAGGGGAATAACTCTAAAAGTCAAAATTCTTGTGATCTTTTTGTACTGCTGGGAATTACATCATTGCTTGTTTCAATATACTCCCTGTAGGAAGGCTCATGATACTTATTTTGCAAGAAGCAAAGGGTGTCATATAAGTTAATGATCCATACACTGTCATTGTTCATGCATCTTAGGAACAAAGAAAATTCCTCCCCACTAGAGGAAAATGCAACAACAGGAAAAAATGAAGCAAAAAAGAGGAAGATTGCTGAAACTTCCAATGTTATCACTGAATCGTTACCCTCTGCAGAATCAGAGCCTGTGGAAATTGAGGTGGAGATTGCTGAAGGGACAATTGAAGTAGAAGATGGTCTAGAAACTCTAGAAGAAGTAGCTTCTGCAGAACAGTCTATAAAATACATACAGAGCAGTGGGTCCTCTGATGATTCTGCTTTGGCTTTGTTGGCGGATATTACCAGCAAGTATCGTCAGGGTGATAGAAAGGGGCAGATTCAAGAAGAAGATGGCTGTGCATCTGATCCCACAAGCAAACAGGTAGAAGGTATTGAAATTGTGGAACTTCAGCTGTCACATGTGAACAACTTGTTCCATTGTGAAAAATGTAACCGTTCATTTAAATTGTTTTACCATTTTAAGGAACACATGAAATCACACTCCACTGAGAGTTTCAAGTGTGACATATGCAATAAAAGGTATCTTCGGGAAAGCGCATGGAAACAGCACCTCACCTGTTACCACCTTGAGGAAGGTGGAGCCAGCAAGAAACAGCGACCAGGGAAAAAAATTCACGTGTGTCAGTACTGTGACAAACAGTTTGATCATTTTGGGCATTTTAAAGAACACCTTCGCAAACATACAGGTAATTTTTCCTTTTTTTTGTCTTTATCTATATCAGTTGTACATAACAGATTTTTTTCCTCAGACATACCTTGAAACTTTTGGCAAAATTTTGCGGTTGTTATTTCAAAAGAGGGTGGGGGTGGGATTTATGCTGAAAAAAACACATTTTCTACTTTCTGTTCCCCTTGGTATTACAAAGATTTTTTTATTGCCAGTATCCAAGCTGTTTTCACAAAATTTACTGGTAAATACATGAAGGCTTTTAGAAAGAAAAGTCATTATCAAGTTGCCAAAGTAATTACTAATTTTATACCTTGCTTACTTTAGATTTTGTTTTTGAGGGGGAAGAATATAAAGTACAATGAATCTAAATAATAAAGACTGATAGTTTTAACTTACAAGAGAATAAAAGCTTTATTATATATAATGCCATATTCAGAGTGCTTTAGGAAATCTTAATTGCAGTGAAATTTCACTAGCCATTCCCTTGCTTGTTTTCTATAATGTCTACTCCAGTCATACTCTAGTAGACTTTTCGTAAGTCTACTCCAGTATGGGTTTTGGGGATTCCTCAATATATTCAAATATTTCTCTTCTCTGTCTCAGTAATTAGGAGATAGGAATTTGGGAATGTAACACTTTTTCCTGGGACTTTTGACTTGGTATGGCAGAAGGAATAGGAGTATGCTTTTGCTTGTTAAAAGATGTGAAGTTCTACAATAAAATGTCCTTGGAAAGGTTAGACTCCTTCAAAGACCATTCAAACATTCTTCTACCCTTCATCCATTTGAAGAGAGCATCAGTGATTTGCTGTCCCTGAAACTCCTCATTGGCTTGGTACTGTGAAGCTTTGCATGGCTATTTTGTGGAACTAGTAAAATGAGGCTTATTGTTTGTAGCATGAAAGGCTTTTGATTTTATTTTTCCCTCATGTCTTTATGTAAAGGTTTTTTTTTTTAATTTTCAAAGATATTAGCTTTTTTTTTCTTTTTTGGTGAGGTAATCAGGGTTAAGTGACTTGCCCAGGGTCACATAGGGTAAATGTCTGAGGTCGGATTTGAACTCAGGTCCTCCTAACTCCAAGGCCAGAGCTCTATCCATTGTGCCACCTAGCTTCTAGCTTCCCCTTTTTCCTTTTTTTTTTAAATTTTTTAAAATGATTAGGTAATCAAGAGTTAAGTGATTTGCCCAATGTCACACAGCTATCGAGGCTAAATTTGAACTCAGGTCCCCCTGACTCCAGGGCCGGTGCTCTATCAACTGCACCAGCTAGCTGCCTGATATTAGCTACTTTAAAGTAGTGATGCCTATTGACTCTATACATAAAATGCTAATTGGTGTTATGTCCCTAAACTGTTTGTGCGCCAGCTCTTTATATGAAGCAAACTCACCTTTTAATATGACTTCTTTTTAATATTCCTAACTAGTTGAATACGTAATATTCAGTCAACAATTAGCAGTGACAGGGTAAATATGTCCTTGATAAGTTCTCAGAATTAATTCACATATATTAAGTTAGTACAATTATGCTTAAATTTTAGTAAAGGGATAGGGCTGTTTTTCTGTTCTGACAAGTTAAAAAGATAAAGGTAAGTAGGTGGTTCTAGCATCATTTTCCCTTCACCCCATCACATGTTTTACATGTGCATTCAGTTCTGCTATACCTTAACATAATGCATTCCCAAAATCCCTCCAAAATGCTATGCAAAATAGCACAATAAAAATCACAGGGCTTATTGGGGCAAAGAGGTTGGGATATATGTAGTACTCAAAAATTTCATCAGAGACATAAGAATAAAAGCAATCTATTAAAATGTTAGCACAGTTTTATATTATCTTAAGTGGTTAAGAAATACACAAATATCACAATAAATAGTGGTAGTGTCCCCAGTGTTGAGCTGTCTGTAGCTTTGGGTTTGCACTACTCAGTTTGGGCCAGCAAACTCTTATGCAAGTAGTTCTGGGTCCAGGGCTGGGCAGACCGTGGGGGAAGTGGGGGGTGGAGATGCTGAGTCCTTGGCTACTACTGAAGCACCAGAACTTAGACAGTAAATATGGCACTTTACCTTAACAAGGACTTGAAATTTGCTTGTAGAAATGGGCATTGGAAGGTTGCGGCTTGTGCATTGTTGTGAGGTGGTGCAGTTTTCTTCATTCTCACTCTTGTGAAAGAATTGGGCATGTATGCTCAATGCTCAAAATGTTCCCTATTTGTCAATCACATTGGAACACATTTTTTTTTAATAATTTTTTTTGGGAGGGGGACACATTATTGAAACAAGCCTTATGTGGCAGAATTGACTGAACTTTTCATTAGCCTCTATTGGTTGTAATTTCACACTCCAAGAACATTTTGGAAACAATTAAAGAATCATCCATATCGCTGATCACTCTTATTTTGTAAATTTTAAATGCTAGATAAATGAGTTCATATTGATTAGAAGTAGCATGAATAGAATGCTAGTGTTGGAGTTTAGAAAACTTGGATTCAAATCTTGTCTCTTGAAACTTAATTGCTGCATGATTCTGGGCAAATCATTTAACCTTTCAGTGTCTTGGTCAGCTTTCTAGAGGATTCCCATACCATATCTTAGTCGTCATGGTCCTAGTTCTCTGCAGGAAGCACAACAGTGCTTCTTAACTTGTCTACTGGCCAGTTTAATTAAAAAAAAAAAAGATAGTCGTTAGGGCAGAAGGAAAATTTTAAATCTCTATTATTTAAGTAAACCCAATGAAATGTCAGTAATTCAAGTCTGGGTTAATTATTCAGTTGTGAATTATCCAGACCCAGTGCTCTTTTGCCCTGGATATCTTTTTGACTGTTTTACTGCTTCACCAGAAGATGGCAGAAGAAATAGAAGAAATTAAACCAATTCTGAGCTTCTTAAAAGCTTTGATTTTTAAAATCCGTCATTAGACAGGTGTGGAAATTATTGCTGATAATAGGTTCTGATTTTTTTTGGCTTTCAGTTATCCATCTGTAGTTTGTCACAAACATTGAGAAAAGTGGGTTGTAATAGTGTCAAAAATACATTTACTCAAAAAAATAACTCATAGCAAATGAGAAAACCTTAGTGATAAAGGATCCTATAAATTTAGTCTAAAAATGCTTGGGAAAAAAATATATAAATATATTTTTTTTTACTATTTTTTCTTTGGAAAACTAAACTAGTAAATAATTTCACGTTTCCTCATTTTTTAAATTTCAAGTATCTTTATCCCTCCCACCATTACAGAAGAAAATTAAGGAAAATGTTTTCGTAAATCATATCTTCTTTTGAAGTAGCTGCTATTGTGCCAGCAGAAAAATTTTAAACTAGATATTTCCTTGGGGTAGACAGGGTTAAATTTAAGAAGTAAGTAGCACTTAGTTGCTTGTTTCCAAATAGCATGGATAAGATGGGAGGAGGAAGTCAGTATTCTACCTTTTCTATTTCTCACCCTTCTTTCCGTAGTCTATATTGTCTTACCTGATTTCCCTATTTGCCTTCAATTGTTATTCACTATCTTCTAGCATTATAACTACACTTCAGCTTCCAGACCTGAATTTTAGATTGGGCGATGGGAAAGAACTATGCTAGTAAATATAATATGATAGATTAAATAATTAGGAGTTGATTACATTAATAGGGAACAAGTATAATATAAAAACTGAATGATTCTCGAGGTCAGATGTCCCCAGAGAAAGTAAGTATGTGTCCCCTAATCCCTAGTTGGTAGTGTTAAACCTATCTGAGAGGAAGAAGGAAAAGAAGTCATAGTTCACTCAAGAGTGAATCCACTGTGAAACTTCCAGTATTTTAAATTTATTTGAGGAAGTCAAGGATTGTCCCCTATTTTAATTGCTGCAGCGAAGTAGAATTCAGTTTTAAAGCAAAGGCTGGACATCCATGTTTTGGTTTTGTTGTAGAGGGAATTTTTGTTATGAGTACTGCTTTGATTGGAGGGGTTTGAGGTCCTTCTAGCTCAGATAGTCTGTCAATGAAGAGTCAGAAGACTTTAAAAAAACTTCAGTAGTATTTCTGGAAAGAAAAGGGAGAACATTATAACTTTTTTTCCCTTTAGAAGAAAGAATCTGCCTTCCCTTTTCCTAGAACAAATAAAGAAGGAACATTCTTTGTTACTGGTCTGCTGAGTAATGTTGATGTGCCTTTATATCTAAAGGTGAGAGGGAACCTAAGAGTTGGGGTCTTTGGGGGCCAGGGTTCCCTGTTCTTTTGTTGGCTTGGTTTTTAAAGGCATATGAAATTCTTTTGTTCTCTGTGTACTTTTGTTTCTATGTATATACAACAGGATAATGATGCATGTAGCATCTACCACCTGTTAACATGTTAAGAACAAGCATGATGGCTAATTTCTGATTTGGTAGATCAAGGATATGATTATAGAGCAAAAGTAATCTTGGCAGAGGGCTTCTAACCTCATTTTGAAGAATATGTTCCATATATTTAATAAAGCTATTAAATGCTTACTTTATACAGGGCACTATGTTAGGTGCTGGGGTGTAAAGAGAGAAAGTCTCTGACTTTGTGGGTCTTGTATCCTGTTTGGCAGATAACAACATGTATACAAAGTAAGCACAATGTAATTTGAAGAAAAAGAAGATAAGAGAATACTTCACAGAGAGGCAACACCTATGTTGAGTGTTGAAGGAAAATAAAGATTCCGAGAGGAAGAAATGAGCAAGTGCATCTCAGGAATGGGAAATAACTTGGGCAAAGCTGAGAGATGAAATACTAAGTTCAGATAATAGTTGTTCAGTTTTACTACATTGTAGGATGTGGGGAAGGGAATAATATGAAATGTACCTAGAAAGGTAGATAAGAGCCAAATTGTGGAGGGTCTTAAATGCTAGCCCAAGTTGGTTATTTTATCTTAAGGAATCAGTGAAGGCTTTTGGAGTGGAGCCATGGTCAAACCCATGCCTTCTTAGGAAGATTGTTTTTTTCAGGTATATGGAAAGGAGAGAAACTAGAAGCATGGAGACCAGTTAAGAGGCTATAATAGTGTACATGAGAG